AGTTCTGTCTCTCCAACTCAATGTATTTCAATTGCTCGCTATGAACTTCCTGGAACTATTTGAGGTCTACATGAATCACGTGACGATCGAGCGTTTTGGACTTCTGTTGATGCAACTCTCTCTTTCCATGGCTCTGCCTAAACCTACCCGTCTCCACCCCCTGATCCCTAAACCCACCCATCTCCACCCCCTAGATGTGGATCTAACCCCGCCCCCTGGATCTTTGTTCTGCAGTGAGGGGCTACTGGAAGTCCCCAGCAGAGAGAAACCTTTAGTTCAGTCCTCCGTGTTTTTTTTACAGTCTATGGTCGTGCACGAACCGATTCAATGGCGCTACGTTCAGCTCGTGATTCTCAGATATTTATAATCGGATGCGGCATCTCGGGAATTGGTGCCGCTCAGAAATTACATAAACACGGTTTTCATAATGTACACATCATAGAAGCAACTGCGAGAAGCGGGGGGAGAATACGAACGGGCAGACTGGGTATGTACAGGCTTATTGCGTCTGTCTGAAATCACTGATGGGGAAATTTAGCTTTTATAATTTGATTAAATTTGTTTATTTTCGTCATCTTATAGGATGATGACCGTCTCTTATCATTTCATATGTATGGACTACATGAAAATTGGTTAACAGATTTCATTTACTTAGAATCTAATGTGTAAAATTATACTGATATTTATCCTTCAGTAGTACTCTAAAATTGTGTCTTTTGCAACTATGTAGCTGTATTCGTGGGCGGAGCTTAACTGCACTTCCGGCTGTAAGTTGTCAAGATGGTTCTCAACCAGAGGCATCAGCAAACGTATTTAATTAATATATTGAAATTCCAGGAATGACAAACTTAAGTGTAGGAAAATAAACAGCTTTGTCGTAATTGCAGTACAAATACCAGTTGAAATTAGCTTATATTGGGGGCCTTTGAGTCAACAAGGTTAAAAACTACTAGTATATATTTTATAAAGGTTTTGAGTTAAAGTCCAAATTTTCCATGTGAACCCAATAAAACCACATTGGAATACGGTTAGGCAAGTGTCAACTATATGATGAAAGTACATTTTAACAGAAAGGTTGAATCATGTTCTGAGGACAAAGGTATTCTTTGTAAATGTCAGGTCGGGGCAAGTTACAAATTTATAAAATTTATTTACTACAGTAATTCTAGGCCACAAATAATGGTTTGATATCATTTTTTACCTTCAATGTTTTTACTGTTTGCTTTATATATATATATATATATATATATATATATATATATATCTTTGTATTAATAGTTTTGTATTATACTTGTTTTACTGTTTAAATTTAGGCATATTTCCTAATTTTTAATCACTGTTCAATATTTTAAATTTTTTGTTGCCAAGACTAGAATGTACTTTGAGAAATATTCAGTACAGTAAAACGCAGGACGGGAGTCTGAGTACATGGAAACTCTGTCTGAACATGAAGTTCTGCACAGTGCCTCACAGCTCCTGCGCATATTTACTGGTAACATTTTTACTATGTACTAGAGGTTAACAGCTTAATAGGACATCATTTGATGGGGTCCAAAAGTCTGAGACCACACTAAAAATGTGGGATAAAAAATCTAATTTAATACCTGGAAATATACAGATCAGATCACATGTAAAAAAAAATACAATGAAATAAATAACTTCTGAAATGTTTCATAATTTTCAGGAAATCCAACTATTACACCAAGGAAGCTTTTAAGATCTCAGTGGTTCCATGAACCCTATTCCTGTGGATCTTACTTTTATATATATATATATATATATATATATATATATATATATATATATATATATATATATATATATATATATATATCTTTGTATTAATAGTTTTGTATTATACTTGTTTTACTGTTTAAATTTAGGCATATTTCCTAATTTTTAATCACTGTTCAATATTTTAAATTTTTTGTTGCCAAGACTAGAATGTACTTTGAGAAATATTCAGTACAGTAAAAAGCTAGCCATGGTATTCTCCATAGATGCATATCACTTTTTTTTTTCTATTTGTTCAAGGTGATAACATTATAGAGATTGGTGCCAACTGGATCCATGGCCCATCGACGGAAAACCCAGTGTTTTGTTTGGCATGTGACTACCAGCTCCTTGACAAAGAGTCAATGTCTGAAGAAAACCAGGCCATTGATGTTGGTGGTCATCCGCTGTTTGTTCCCAACTGGTTTACCAGTTCAGGTCGGAAACTGGGGCTTGAGACGATGGGGCCAGTGGTGGAGTTTTTCATGAAATTACTGGAAAGGAGTCAGCAGTTCCATGACAGTGGTGGAGAACCTCTGCTGAGTGTTGGGGAGTTTGTCAAGGCTGAGGTTGAACGACTGGCCCCAGAGGAGTGGAAAGAGGACCAGGCTAACATTGCAGTAAAAATGGCCATGATAAACACACTGCTCAAGCTGGAGTGCTGCGTCAGTGGAACCCACACGATGGATGATGTAGGCCTGGGAGCCTTCGGCATGTATAAAACTCTCCCAGGATTAGATTGCACTTTCCCAGGGTAAGTCTCAGAGCCTTACTTGTACATTTTGAAGTGTCTCAATTATCCAATTCCAAAATGCTAAATCTTGTAAAGTTTGCAAACTAAACATGTTCATGCATTCTTTTTTTCCTCCTAGAGGTTATGAAGGTTTAATCGATCACATGATGAAGGAACTTCCCAAGGACATAGTCTTGTACAACAAGCCAGTGAAGTGCATTCACTGGAACTACACTAAGAATGGACCATCAGGAACATCATTTCCTGTTACGATTGAATGTGTGAATGGAGAGACATTTGCAGCAGACCATGTTATTGTCACTGTCCCACTGGGTATGTATAGATTCAGCATGACTTAATGTGAACGAGTGAACAATTAGCATCTAACACTTATTTGTAATCAACGTTATTGGTCTGGTAATTGCAACTAGTATAATCTGTTCACTTTAAATGCATGCACTTTTAAATTCATAAAAAGTACAGGTTTTTTGTCTGATTTACAAAGTCAGATGATTGATTTAGGTCTTTCTAGTGTTCATAATATTGCTTATAACATTATTTTAAAATAATATATTTTTATATGAATAAAAAATAATTTTCATAATGTTGCTTCATACCTTTATTGCTACAATATCTGCAAGACCTATAACTCAGCTGATGTGCTGTTTCATTACAGGGTACCTTAAGAAGCACCAGAGCACTTTTCTGAGCCCTCCTCTTCCACTGAATAAAGTGCACTCTATCCAGAGAATGGGCTTTGGGACCAACAACAAGATCTTTCTTGAGTTCGAGCAGCCTTTCTGGGATGAAGACTGTGAATTGATTTACCTCGTCTGGGAGGACGAGACACATCTTGCTGATGTTGTTTCTGATGTAAAGAACTCCTGGATCAGAAAGTTAGTTGGGTTCACTGTGCTGAAGCCCACAGAGAGGTAAACATAGTCTTTAATTTTGCTTCAACTACTGCAATTTATGCCATAATAAATATGACATTTCTTTTCTGTTGTTGTGCAGATATGGGCATGTGCTCTGTGGATGGATCGCAGGACGGGAGTCTGAGTACATGGAAACTCTGTCTGAACATGAAGTTCTGCACAGTGCCTCACAGCTCCTGCGCATATTTACTGGTAATATTTTTACTATGTACTAGAGGTTAACAGCTTAATAGGACATCATTTGATGGGGTCCAAAAGTCTGAGACCACACTAAAAATGTGGGATAAAAAAATCTAATTTAATACCTGGAAATATACAGATCAGATCACATGTAAAAAAAATACAATGAAATAAATAACTTCTGAAATGTTTCATAATTTTCAGGAAATCCAACTATTACACCAAGGAAGCTTTTAAGATCTCAGTGGTTCCATGAACCCTATTCCTGTGGATCTTACACCTATGTGGCCAAAGGTTGCTCAGGATATGACATAGATAATCTTGCTGAACCCTTGCCGCTGAAAGGATCAAATTCTAAGGTGCAACTATTCTCATTTTGTCAACGTTTGTTCAAGCAACTAGATTTCATTCTTCTTTTAAACAGTACGCTATACATAGACATTTTCCCTTTACTCTTGACACTTCTTTACTTTGTTAATTGATAATATAATATGAATGACACTTTATTTTTGCAGTCTTTGCAGGTGTTATTTGCAGGAGAAGCCACACACAGGTCTTTCTTCTCTACAGTTCATGGAGCGTTGCTGAGCGGCTGGAGAGAAGCAGAGCGTCTTACATCTCACTACACTCCTGCCTCTGGGTCATTCTCATCTAAACTATGAAAACTGTCCTCCTGTTCTGAAGAGTGAGAAGGATCGACAGTCATTTTCATGAGTCTGAAGGATTTTGTGCCTTAGAAAGGGAATAGAAAGAAAATTTGAATGTAACTGCTGAATTATTTAAAGAATCATGGATATACTGCATGACACTTGTTCAATATGCCATCCAAGTTTGATAATTGATTCAGCAGATGATTTTGGGTATGTCAAAATTAACAAAAAAATCTTACTGAGAGCCAGTACTTTGCACAAATGCTAATTGTTTTTGTGATGTGAAAATAAGTTTTTATATTAAACATAGTTTCTCACAATACTTTACTCATAATATACTTAATTATTTTTTCTAATTAAATTCTTCATAGAAATTGGGCTATGATTATCCCCTTTATCCATCCATTCACTTTCTATAATCTAAACTGTCCCAAATGTTTATGATCATGTAAAATCATTCAAATATCTGGATCATTTCAGATTTTTCTTTTCAAAACAATTATCTCATAAAAAATATTTGTGTCCCTTGACACGTTTGTATAACAAAATGCCATTTTGTAACTTACTGTAATGTATTAAAGCATTAAAACAGCTGGTATTTATGGGTTAGAAAATCTAACAGTTAAAGTACACAGTTTATATACCTCTCATTTCTTTGAAAAATGTATACAACTAGATAGAATTACAATTTATGTGGTGTCATTACGTTGTTGTGAACAAAAGTTCTAAATGCACACTTTTGGAACATAAATGAAGATATAAATGGAATTGCCTGTTGGTGAAGATTAATTTATGACCACATACTATATTATCTGTCATGTAATTATTATATATTATATAGTCAGAGCATTATATTTGTTTTATTATAGCATATGTGTGTTTCCAAAATTTTCCACATTTTACATTAGTATTGTACCACATTCTCATACACTTTCTTTACGCTCATCAGATTTTACATACAGCACTTAACAACACAGTAAGTTCTTAAATTACACCTTATAGGTTTTGGGTAAGATTTTATCCCTTCTATTGTCCTCAAAAATAACTAAACTTTAAGATACAATACTTTTGGTATCTCGTTTGTTGCATGGTCCATATGAAATATGATTATGGAAAAAAAAATCGCCAGAATATTTATGAAAAATGCGGTTGCTGATGACATGCCATGTGTGGCCTAAGTGTCTTTCTACAATTCAAAGATCACAGTCATTCAGAAGGCGTTTCCACTGAAAAATACGCATTCCATTGGTCAAATATGGGTATTGTAAACAATAATGTCACTTCCAGATGCTACATATAAAGTCTAATTTTGAAGAATGACAGATTGGATATGCTTTTTCTCTATGTTGTACTGTACTTTCCGCAAGCCGTTTTTCAATGGCTTTCAAAAAGTGGGACAAAAATCGACTTGGGTAAAAAGTGGTGGGGACATGTTACAGCCGTCCCACCAGCAAACCATACAGAATCCTACAGAATCCATCCAGCCTGAAATAGTTGCATAGAATGATTTAGACAAGAGTCTTCGTGAAGTTTTCTGGAGTCAAGTACAGTTCACACGAGTAGGGGAGGAGCGTTGAGCTGGAGTCCTCTGTTGAACGAAACATTTAGTTAGACTGTGCGTGATGAAGTGTAGTAGGTTAGACTAGTGCGTGTGCGCATTTACAGTGCTTTCTTTCACTGTATGATTCAGTTTAGTAAAATACATTTCGAATGATTACAAAAAATTCAAGATATGGGAGCAGAAAATGTATACATTTATATCAGTTAAGATAGTTTATATAAATATCATTTATACATCAATGTAATTTATTTTCTTCAAAAATCAACATGATTTCAAAGGTGATATTAAAATTATGTGATATTAATATACAGTTCAATAAACAAAAAGTTAATTAAGAGACTTAAGTTTTAGACACCATATTGCCTGTTTTTGCTCTATTTCGACAACAAAAATAACTCCAAACAAAGCCACAGCACTGTTTTGCGCCTCTGAACAGTGTGACATCTAAATGCCACTTCAGATGCAGCTACTGTGTTTCCTCTGCATTACAAAGATTAATTCAGTTGATAATTATACCATTTGTTTGGTAACAGCCTAAATGTCTCGTTATTCTAATTGACAAATTATATGCAAGAATTTGACTCAAAAAGATGATGCACACTTTAAGAAAAATGGCTTTATAAATGTAAAAATGCTTATAAATAAATATATATATATAAGCTTATTGGTAGATTAATTTCTATCACTTAGTATTGCCAAAAGACCCGGTACTTCGGTACCAAGTCGGTACTAAAAAAATGAAAACGCTACGGAACCAGGTTTTTTTAAGTACCGGTGGTACCGAGTACCCGGACAACCCGGTTCTTGATGTGCTATTCGAAAGGTACGCAGATGCGCTCTCTTCATAAAAGCACTGAGACGTGGCGACATCAAAAGGAGGAAACACACCAAACTAACAAAACACTTTAAAGACACCCACATCAAATGAAAGAGTTCAAGCAGATACGTTTCATTTTAATTTTTTATATTTAGATCTTCAGTGTTTCCCATCCATTGATTTATTTGTGGCGGCCCACCACAATATCAAAATTGACCGCCACAAATAGATTTTCCAAAAGTTTGAATGTCGGATTGAAATGAACGCTGTTAGAGTAGTTAATCATTAGCATAATGCTAATATCGCAACAAACGAGATACCAAAAGTATTGTATCTTAAAGTTTAGTTATTTTTGAGGACAATAGATGGGATAAAATCTTACTCAAAACCTATAAGGTGTAATTTAAGAACTCACTGTGTTGTTAAGTGCTGTATGTTAAATCTGATGAGCGTAAAGAAAGTGTATGAGAATGTGGTACAATACTAATGTAAAATGTGGAAAATTTTGGAAACACACATATGCTACAATAAAACAAATATAATGCTCTGACTATATAATATATAATAATTACATGACAGATAATATAGTATGTGGCCATCCAAATTAATGTAATCACATTCAGCAAATGTTGATTTGTGGGTATCTCAAAATTTCAAATAATTTCACAATATGCCTGTAACTTTGCACAAATGTTAATTGGTTTTTGTGATCTGAAAATATTTTTATATTAAACATACCTTATACTTTATAATGTTTTCTGTTTTTATAAACTTACAAAATGGAATGAAAAATTTAGTTTTTTCTAGTTTAATTTATATAAGGAAGGAAACTGTTCTTAAATTGTATGCCTACTTTTCAGTTGTCCAAATGAGACCCTCTAAATTTGCAGGTAAAGACAATAAATATTCTTTGAGCACAGAATTTACCCAGAATTAATATTCTCAATCCCACCCAGTAGGTGGCAGTATACACATATGTAGTTGCTTCTCAACTCGTTACTAAAGCCACCGAAGAAGATGATTCATTAACGCAAACAAGGCTTATCTTTTAGTCAACAAAAAAAGTTACTTTTCTGAATGCAAATAACTGGTGAGTGGTATGTCAAATGCCCGCAACGGCAACATTTCGTTTGAATTATTACCTAAACAAATCAGAACTAAACCAAAAATGTCAATGCAGTGTTTTTTTTGTTTTGTTTTTTGCCACGGGCGTATTTTATTATGGTTGTTTTAGTTTAGCAAGCTATGAAATTGTATGATGATAAGAAGAGAATAATGCAATCTCACATGTAATTTTGATGTAAAAAAACAACAAATACAACGTTGGACAGAGCACTAATATCTGCCTATTTTGTTATAGTTCTGGTTCAGCCTTTGGAAGAATTCACGTCCAGTCTCAAGAAGAACTAGTTGAATTAGAGCTGGGCATCGGAAGTCAAAGACTTGTTAAAATGGAGAAAGGTTTGCCATCTGCGAAAGCAGTTTCCCAGCACTTTATGAATGGATGGTTAAAAAGCGAAGATGACAGTTCATTGTCCTTGCAATCAGATTTCATCAAGTCAGAAATACAAGTTAAAGTGGAACCTGATCAAGATGACTCTTCAATGCTTGATGTGAACGAGCTAGGAACGTTTTCTCGTTCTCAGGGGAATGTTAAAGAGGAGTTTTTGGACCTTGGTCTGCAAATTTTACCAACTGGCCTAATGCCACCAGTTGAGATGGAAGAAGAGCTTGAAATCACAGCGAACACGCACGCTTCTCCAGATAAACCTCTGAACAGAAGAACTGATACATCAAGCAAAAGAAAAAAAAGTACAGACAAGAAAAGAACATCAAGAAAAAGAAAATCAACAGAGCCAACAAAACAAATTATACCAACTAAAATGAATTCTGATGTGTCAAGTGACAGAATGAAATCTTTAATAATGCAGGGAAACGCCACACAACATCCAGAGAAAGCAGGTAAAGGCAGAACATCCAACAAACAGCATAAAGAAGAGCGATTTAGTTGTGAAACCTGTGGGAAAGAATTCCAGCGGTCAGATCTTCTCACGGATCATGTGAAAATTCACAGAAGACAGAAACCATATGGTTGTGATCAGTGTGAAATGAAGTTTGCCAAGCCCTCTTATTTGAAAATACACTTGCGTAGACATGCCGGTGACAGGCCTTTTCCATGTAACCAGTGTGAGAAGAAGTTTTTTGACATCTATGACTTAAGGGTGCACCAGAGAGATCACACTGGAGAGAGACCTTATATGTGCCCTGAGTGTGGGAAGAGTTTTAAACGCGTTTACATACTTAACAAACATAAACGGACCCACTCAAAGGAGAGACCTTTCCAGTGCTCCGTTTGTGGTAAAGCATACAGATATGGGTACAGTTACAGATTGCATCTGAAAAACCATCTCGATTAGGGTCCATGATGTGTATCGGCATTTTTCGTAACAGTTAAAGGGTTTGCATTTTTATTCCTTCCTTAAAGGATGAATATTTCCTTATGTAAAGTGGAAAATGTGTTCTAGTATTTGATTTAAGAAGGCTTTTTGACTGAAATCATTTTTTATCTATGCTTTTTATGGTGGTTTGAAAGAATCATCACATCCCCATGAATGATTTTGTTCCACTCTTGAAGAGTGTATAGTTTATTCCCGTAGATGTCCAGTAATTTATAATAGACAATGCTCTTGCTTATTACACATATTTAATGTTTTACAAGCGGCTTTCTGTAGCAAGCTTGCATTAAAATGAGAGGATTACAGACTTAAGTCTCAATTCTCTTTCTGACATTTTGTGTTTGAAGAAATGTTTCAGTTCAGAAGAATCAAATGTTGCATAGAGATTATATATCACAAATTGGTATAGAATTAAGTGTTTATGATAAAGTAGCAATACTGAAAACAAACCTTTCTTGAGTGAAATAATAATAGAATGATAATGGTTTGGAAATAAAGGTCATTTTCGCTATCGATGACCCATGTTATGTACATGTCTATCTGCACTACTGTTCAAAAAGTTGGGGTTGGTATTTTT